AACAATTGCATCTTCAGTGGAGAGACGGAAGAGATTGCACAGCACTTATTTTTTTCTTGTCCATTTAGTAACTTAGTTTGGGGGTAGATTCGCTGTTGGCTAGCCATTACACATAATGCCCCCGTTTGGTCCCCATTAATTTTCATTCCATTACATTCTAATTTTCTCTCTCATGTTTTCAACCACACAATCTTACATAAAATAATATTATACGTAAATCGAAAACTTTTTCTTCTTTTTCAACCATTCATTTTTTTTAAAAAAATACTATTCCATCCATTTCATTTTCAAAGAAATGGGGGCCAAACGGGGGCAATATGTCTACTTTATCAAGCTCATTGAAATGGATGAAGAAGGAAGCTCTGAGAACAACTTGGCAAAGCAAGGTCAAGAGAATTGCTTTAGCTACTACAGTATATCACATATGGATGGCGTGAAATAGAAGGATTTTTGAGAACCTTAGACCACAAGTTGATTGCATTGTTAAACGGATTAAAACATACATATACAAAGTCATGTTTTCTTTGTATCCATGTGTTTTAATTCATTTTGAGTCTTTAGCATTTGGCCCATAGCTATTATCACTTGTACATCTTTCATTTTGTTTGCCCCGAGTATGCCTGGAGTATTTGTAATCTTCACTTGAATGTTGTTTGCCCAGAAATGCCTGATGTATTTGTATATAATCTTAATCGATAGAATTTCACATTTATCGATAAAACAAAAAAAATATTATATATAGGTGATTAATGAATACATTTGGTAGGAGCCGTTTGATTCCCATTTTGATAAGAATGAGAACGAAAAATAAAGTCGTTACGGGATCCATACAAGAGATATAAAATCAAATATGGTGGCTTGATGTGATGGATAACGATCATATTTTTCATTTTCGTGGTCAATGAATGGAAATCAAACAAGGCCTAAGTAAGCCAGGCAATTCAAAACTTTCTATACATCCATGTACTTATAAATCCCTCCCCCTTAGTGGAAATTACACTAGATGTCAACTTTTGGCTTTCTATTTACAAAAATGTCATTTTTTAAGGTCTTTGTAAGATTGTCAATTTTTGGTCCTCTAAATAATTCAAATACCCTTCATGTCCTTCATTAAATAAAGATTTGACTAGATGAAGAAATAGTACAAAAATTTTTAAAACATCACATCTCTCATCTCACTACTTAACTTTGACAAATTATCTTCTAATTCATGAAAAAATTGATGGAGATTTTCATTTTCCTCTCCCGACCGACTCTCGCTCGCCAATCCCTAGCTTTTTGCCTCTCTGCTCCATCCAGACCAGCGACGACGATGGCCACTCCCTTAGGTAGTTAAGTTGCTTCTCTTCTTCTTCTCGTTCCTTTACTCTTCACTCTTTCACAAATCAAAACGTGCCGACCCTTTTTTCAATCCTAACCGCGCTGTTGCTGTGCCACGTCCACCGTCTGTGCAATAGTGTCTCACTCGCACCTCCAGCCAGCCACCTACTCCCAGTAAAGGAGAAGTGAAGATTATTTGTCTAGCCCTCCAACTTTCTATAAATCTATAGAATTGAAAGGAAAAGGCAAAAATGGTGAGTCCAAATTGGGTTTTTGCTTATGTGTGATATTTTAGCTTTTTACATAATTGATTTTAGCTTTTCTGTGAGTTTCTTAAGATATTGAAATATTCGTAGGCTTTTAATTGCATATGCATGCTTTTGTTTTTCAAATTTCTGATTTGTTTCTGGATTTTTAAATGTGCACATTTTGAGATATATGAAATGTAGTGAATAACTTATGTATAGTCTCTTTTTCTTTTCTTTTTTTTTTCTTTTTTTTTTTTTGCAGGGATGAATTTGGTTAACACTCAACCAAAAAGTCAACATGAACATGTCCCTAAATTTGTAATCCAGGTAGTGTCTTTTGTGTACTTCGGTCCAACTGTCGAGAATGATAGAGACAATCTGTCGAGAATGACATATGAACCGTCAGGCTGTAATGCAGTATGTTGTAAATGGATCTGTATTTTACTTGTGAAGTTGAACGTGTATTTCCCTATTTGTGAACGAAGCAGGAATGGTAATGACGATGTGAGTTGAATATAATAATATAAGTCAATAATGTGGTGGGGAAGAGCATAGGTTGAGCAAATGTTACGAAATAGTATTTATCATGCGTTGTCAATTGAGTCTTTTACAATTTTGCAAATTAGAATTTATTTGGTGGGGATTGGAAAAAATATTTTTAAGTAAACAGAGAAGATACAAGGTTTTGCTTCCTCCCTTCAAGTATTTTGAATGATCGTAGAATTAGAGAGTTAATTGTACTATGTCAAAAATATTGTGGTATAAATTTTTCCTTATGTTTATTCTTCTTCATTTCTTCTACAGTTTACCATTTACGTTAACCTGATCTTTAATGTTGTGCACGTTTTCGTCAACTGTCGAGAATAAATAAAACATTTGTCGGGACCGACAATTGAACAGGTCGGGATGTTGTGCAATTGAAATATGAAAATTGGTGCATTTTATAACTTTCTCGCTTTCGAAAAATGAGGAAATTGGTGCATTTTATAAGTTTCCCGCTTTGGAAAAATGAAAGTTATTAGTTTGGCCGATGCAAGTGTCTTAGTTTATAAATAGAAATTATAGATATTATAAGTTTATCGTTTTTTGCAAATTACAAGTCTGACCAATACAAATACATTTAGATATTAAAGCATCACATCAATTGTCTATCAAATTAAATTTGAGATGCGATGAAAATAAATTGGTAATTGGAAACTAATTGACCTTAATTAACCATCCTCTCTGTCCAATTATAAATACCAGTGCAGAACTTCATATTCATAAACCACCCCTTGAAAGACTAAACAAGTTGTTGTGAGACTCTCATGTTGAAACAGTTAGTTGATATGAGATAATAGGTTCATCCACCTCCAGCAACGAATCATTCAACCCCAATATGCATCCGTCGATGCTGGATTCGTCCAATGAATTTTTCACCATTTTATTTACGAACGATGAGAAGGTAAGCGTTGAGCATCATGAATCTCAAATGATTACTCATACCTGAAATGTTGGGATTGTAACAGTAAGAATTTAGAATCAATATGTTGATATTTAATAACATGAAAGTGGCACTGCATCGTACGTAAATACGTACAATAGCAAAATGTCAAATCAAGGGTTTCCATCATTTTGAAGTGTCCAAATTGACAGTAAAACTATATACTCCGACAGTTTGTAAATATCAAATTCGACAGTTCTCGAGAAGCAAACGGCAGTGGGTGGAACTCAGGTTTCTTCAGCATAGCACATGAAGTGTGGTCATTACTATTGAACTACCAAATGACAAAATGAAAGTGTCAAATTGGCCTTATCATTAAAGAGACGTTAAATGAAAATAGCGTTTGGTTTGAATGGAAGAAATTACTCCAAATCTTAATGATGAAAATGACATTTTGTAAAGGACTCCAAAACCAAACAAATCAATGTATAATAGTTTCAAAAATTTCAAATAAATATGCCCGTATTGTATTTAATATTTATAAAACGAAAAGTTATAAGAGTAAAATATAAATAATTTGTAATTGCTAACTTCTCAAAATGAATGAAGAATGCAACATAAATATCTTGTTGATCAATGAAAATGAAAATGGAGAAAAGTTAGGGTTTGTAGTTTATATTTCATTTTTAAATTTCTTTTACGCTTTTTTATTAATAAAAATTCATATTAATTAATAAAATACATATTTATTCATATTTTGTATATAGAAATTAAATTATCACATCAAATCAATGCTTTTCCTTCAAATCAAGCATAAAATGCTACTAAAAATGTGTCATTAAGGGTAATTTGGATTTTTCACCCTAAAAATTGACATTTTTACTCACATAAAATGAAAATGATAATTTTTTTAAAACTTTCATTTTTCGTGACGTTTTTATAAATTCTCCTAAATCTTACAAAGCCACTTGGCAATGTACGGTCAGGTCAAGATTTTGGTCCTAACATATGCTTTGGGTTGACATAAAAGATAAATCACAGTCAAAATTTCATAATGACTTTTGGGTAAATTTTATTTACGGGTAGCTGAACTTTCAGTAAAAGTTCAATTGGATCATTGAACTTTAATTTATTTCATTCAACTCACTGAGCTTCTATTTAGTTTTTAGCCTTGTTTGGTTTAGCTAAAAATCAAACATTTAGTAGATTTTGATAAAAATTAATAGAACGTATGATTAAAAAGTAGACAATTATATTAATTTGACTATTGTAGTTAAAAGGTACGGTAGCTTACCATTTGAGTAACTATTATGAATTTGAAAGGTGCAAGTGACAAAATGAGTAAACTGCTTGATATTTTTTTGAAACTTGACATAAAAGTCGAATGTGAATTTAACTTTAGGATTGTCCTATCAAATCACAATGTTTAATAGGTGGAGGACTCGAAATCCACAAATATGTTGTCTTAATTAGAACATTGCTTATATTTAGCCAAATTGGAATAAATAGCAACCTAAATCCATTCAATTTAGATAGTTTGATCCAATGACTTTAAATCCAACGCTTTTGTTCTGACAAATTTATTTGGAAAATCAATGTCACAATATTACATTTAAACCCTAAATGATATACTTATGGATTGAGCAAAATATAAACAAAATTTTTAATTACTTTTCAAATTTATTTGAGAATGAATTGTGAGCACGCACTTAAACTAATTATAACAATTTTAAGTCAAAGTCAATGAATAATTTTAATTACAGATCATAATTTTTCGACAACATATATCATTAATTTTTATCAAAATTTACTGAAAACTTATTTTAATCTGTACTAAATAAAGGCTAAAATGAGTTTGAGAGTGTAGTACTTCTTGTTCAATTGAAAGAGGTAGTTATTCTAATACAATCATTTTTATTAATTAAACTAAAATTGAGACCGTAACAAAGAAGAAATAAAATAGAACTAAAGTCCCTTTTATTCTCAATTCCGTGCTTATGCGTAGGGTTCTAATTCAAGAAGTCAACAATTTTCTTCATCAACAAGGCAGCATTTTCAGACGTTGGATTTAACAAATGAAAAACGTGACCTTCTTCTTCAAAATCTAAAAGTTCAATTTCACCCTTCCAATTGCTCTTCTTCACTGTCTCGTAGTAATGCCAGCCCCTTCCTCTCAAACCATCCTTCTCAGAAGTGCAAACCAGAACCTTATTGCACTCCATTTTAGCCATCATATCCATTTCCTCAACCGGGTTCCGCCTCGGGTCATAAATTCCAGTCAAATCCCGGCAAATGAAATCCAATAACTGGCTTGCTTCATCATCCGCAAAGAATGGATGAACCAAAATTATACCCAGTATTTTGATACCGTTAATGCCAGTTTGGATTGCCATGTGATGCGCAATATTGGCTCCGGCACTGTCACCGGCAATGAAAATCCGATCGAAATCTGCATAATCGTTCAACCACGGATCCGGACCCTGTCCAGTGGCGTGCAGTTTCACCCAATTAATTGCCTCCCAACAATCCTCATAACAAGCCGGAAGAGCGTGTTCCGGCGCCAATCTATATTCAATCGACACCGCAATAGCCTTGGCTTCTGCTACCAGAGTATTGACATAGCTATGGTACTGCGAAGAGAACGCAGAGTCGAGAGTAAAACCGCCGCCGTGGATGTAGATAAGGAGCGGGAGCTTTTGGTTGTGAGCAGTAGCACTTTTGGGGAGGAAAAGCCGCGCTGAAACGGCATTTTCCGGCGAAAATACAACGTCTTTGGATTGTACGTCTGTGGTGGGATCGTGCGACGGTGGAACAAAATCGATTTTGAAGTACCTTTCGACTTTGCCATCTTTGTAGATGCGGAAGAAAGGCGGTATGTCTGTTTCATTAGAAGCCATAATGAAACAAGGTTGAGGTTTGGGTTGAAGTTTTCTAAGGTGACGAGGGAAATTTATACTGGAAATCCAGTATGGCAGCGTAGGCCACTTGGCTGTATACATTGGTAAGAGCCACGCTACGTATACAGGGTGTTAGTTCAGATGATCGATACAGGTCACATACGGGTTAATCCATTGGGAAGGGGCTTTGGGTAAACATTTTTATTTTTTGGGTAAATTGACGAATGACAGTTTGCCACAAGCATAATTCAAAATTTATGTGATCTAAAATTTTCCAGGTAAAATTACATGAAAATTGCTAAAGTAAAATTACATGAAAATTTAGAGCTTGTTTGGAAGTGATTTTGAGAATTAATTTTTTGACTGTTAGGAAAAAAGTGGGGTTCACCTGTGAAAGAAGAAATCAAATATGACGGCTGAAATAATGAAATAAAAGTCAAAAAATTAATTTTTTTGACCAAAAAATCACTTCCAAATAGGCTGATAATTTCTTTAATAATAGATTTTGTGAACAGAATTTTTTTTTTTAAAGAATATTGGTGTTAAAAGTAGAAAAAAAAAATTAGGGACCCACATACAAATTTATTTTATTGGAAGATTATGTGGTTGAAAAATGAGTTTTAAAAATTTGTACCAAACAAGGATTTAATAAACCACCATATTGTAATTGATCATAATTGGTAATCTAGAAATGAAAATCATAAACTGAGGGATACAATAATATCTTTGGATTAACATGTTAAAACACGTGTTTTATTGTAGAGTAATGCTATTTAGTTCCACTGAAATTGTAATCTCAATTTACATTGAATAATATTATTCATAGTAAAAACTATTAAGAGTCATCATACGTGATAGACATATAATATTTTATTGGTCTAGTGGTAAATAGGCTTGCAGCAGCACAGCTAAATTGAAGACGAGAATTAAATGATAAGTTAAAGTTAGTGTCCCAATTAAGTAAATTTCATAAATTTAGAAGACGAAAAGTGATGAAGTGAAATTTGAAATAAAATTAAATTGAACTTAGACGAGGCAAATTAAAATTTACTCTACGAGCACGTGTTTTATTGTAGAGTAATGCTATTTAGTTCCACTGAAATTGTAATCTCAATTTACATTGAATAATATTATTCATAGTAAAAACTATTAAGAGTCATCATACGTGATAGACATATAATATTTTATTGGTCTAGTGGTAAATAGGCTTGCAGCAGCACAGCTAAATTGAAGACGAGAATTAAATGATAAGTTAAAGTTAGTGTCCCAATTAAGTAAATTTCATAAATTTAGAAGACGAAAAGTGATGAAGTGAAATTTGAAATAAAATTAAATTGAACTTAGACGAGGCAAATTAAAATTTACTCTACGAGTTTTTTTTTTTTTTTTTTCTGAAAGTAAGTTGAAGCAGATGAAATTTTTTTATTTTATTATATATTTTTTAAATTTTTATAGGCTGCTTGGTTCACATTTGAGAAAACTAGTTAATGTCATTGATGCAATAATGAGCCTTTATGGAGGCGCAGGCCACTTGGGATAGTAGACATTAGGAAGTGGTTCGAGTAAATTTCATCAAAGATTCACGCAATTTACATTTTATTTTTTTTTGGGTGTGTGTGTGTGTAAAATTCCCTTGGTCAATGAACTTTGAGAAAAATTTCAATTGAGTTACTCATCAAAGATTCACGCAATTTACTTCTTTTTCCTTTTTCTTTTTCTTTTTTCTTTTTCTTTTGTGTGTGTAAAATTCCCGTGGTCAATGAACTTTGAGAAAAATTTCAATTGAGTTATTCATCAAAGAATCACACAATTTACTTCTTTTTCTTTTTCCTTTTTCTTTTTCTTTTTTCTTTTTCTTTTGTGTGTGTGTGTAAAATTCCCTTGGTCAATGAACTTTGAGAAAAATTTCAATCGAGTTATTCATCAAAGATTCACGCAATTTACTTCTTTTTCCTTTTCTTTTTCCTTTTTCTTTTTCTTTTGTGTTTGTGTAAAAAATTCCCGTGGCCAATAAACTTTGAGAAAAATTTCAATTGAGTTACTAAACTCCTATTTGATAGGAATTAAAATCAAAATTTTAGCAAATTTTGATAGAAGTGGATGAAATATGTAATTGAAAAGTTACAAATCCCATAAAATATATAGTTAAAATTAATTATTGAATTTGACTTATATTAAAAATCTAAATTTTAATTTCTACCAAATAGGGGTTGTATATAAAATGGACTCGATTATGTTAGTGAACTTCTACTTAGTTTCAAATTTTATTGGTTTATCACATTTTATCATCTTTCAATTTGCCAAAAACGAGTTAATATGCAATCATACTGTAATTCATCTTTTACGTGATTGCTAAGTGGCAATATAGAAAAGAAAATGATAAAACAAGGGATGTGACAGCGTCTTAAGATTAAAACATGTTTTATTTAACGCTTTTATGATATGGCTCTGTGTTAAGTAGGCTGCAATGCAAGGAAATTGAAGATGATCGATTCCTGAGATATGAAATTGGACTTCTTGTAAGCGCAGTGTACAAGCAGCTCTTATTCCCTGACTTGTTGGGGGTACATTCCGCGATTTACCTTCCTCACAAAGCTCTAAGGACGGGACGGGGCGGGGCGGGGCGGGACTCTCAAGGTTGGTGTTCAACATTTTTTTTAAAGTGAATTGAAGACGATAATTAAGTGGTAAGTCAGTGTCCCAATTGAGTAAGTTTCATCGATTTAGAAGATGACAAGTAACGAAGTGATGAAATTTTGTAAGACTGAACTATTATTTATTTAACTGAAAAACGATAAAATATTTCTAAAAGAGGTACATTAGCAAATCAAAAACGGCCCTTGACTCTTTCAAGAAATCCCAAATTTGGGACCGTTCCTATTAAAGGATCATTGGGAAACGTACCGTAAATGTGCGACAGGCATATGAGTAACAAACGCATTGGAATTGGGAAAAAAAATATCTATCTCATTTAAATGCAATCTAGAATTTATCAATTATCGTCAATAATTCAGCTCATTGGCTGTCGTGATCTTTTTATCTCCTCCTAACGTTTTGGATTTTGTTATTTGTAAATCGAAATTTGATAGTTCAATGTACAGCCCTCTCATAATAGGGACCCCATTTGTTTAATGAGGCTTCAAATCATGGTCACGTGACAGTCAGTAGCAAATCAAATCTGGCTCACACTTTATGTCACTATCCTACTCAAGGTGTACATAAAGCAATTGAGGCGATGTTACACTTAAGTCGATGTTGTTATCACGTGTTACAGAGAGGAATTCAAGGTAACTAGTCTCTTTGTTAATGAAAAGCATCACCCACATCACTTCTTTTAAGAAATCTATTTTACAAAGTCTTTCAACGATTAATTAATGTGACATCTTTGCAACAGAACCCCGAAGGTCAAATCGATCGTCTATACTTTAGAGGTCAAACCTATTCTTTTAAGTGGCCACTACTCAGAAAAACATTAAATGTTATTCAATTTATGATTGATAGAGTAACACCTATGAAGAGACATATCGACCATTAAGATTAGACCACATATCTATCCATCTGATAGTGGTAATTTCCCCTCTTCTATTATTGGAAGTTTCAAATTAATATTTTATTTAGACTCAGCAAGTGGAATTACACAATTAGAAGTAACAAGTCACTTTTTAATTGTTTTTAAATGATTAGATCAAACAAATCAATCTATCCTATGTTTGAATACCTTGATTTGTAAATTGATAAAGTAAAATACAAAATATGACCATGGAGAAAACCCTTCGCAAAGAATCAAAAACTCCTAGCACTTTGTCAATCAACAATTCATTACAAATAATGAGACTTTTAGTATGATCCAGACCCGACTAACATTTAGTCCACTCTAACCTTCTTTCTGTAATCACATTGGCTCTCCTAGACTGTGTGCTCCTCACTTAAACTCTTGACCCCTGAAATCGTTTATCTCCTAAGGTCTCCAACAATGAAACTTGTTCTTCAGTGCCAGAACTCGAATCACCTCTTCCCAAAACTCCAGTAACTCTAAAGGCTAATTGATGAATGTAGGTTTTGGTGTTTGATCAATGATCTTGTATGTATTGATCTATGGTTTAATGTGAAGGTTTATAGCTCGAGCAATAAATCTAAAGTTTGGATAAATTTATGGCTTGAATAATATGGTGGTTGAATCTTTGAATCGACGAAAGTGCTTTTGGATCTTCAAATGAATGGTCTATATGGAAAAATATGATTTAACACCATTTTGGATGTTCATAGAATATATATATATACACTAGTAGTAAGCACGTTTGTTGCACGTCTTATGTATAGATTAATGATATACATATTTTTTTAATTACTAATACCATTTTTTAAAATAATAGATGTAGTTGATATTGTTAAAGGAAAAATTACAATTGAGTATATGAGTATAAAAGTTTTATGAAATTATGTTTATAATGTGAAAATGTTGATAAACTAAATGTAATGATATGATTACAATAATATTTGTGTGTGTGTGTGTGTGTGTATTAGTGATTGAATGTCCCAAATAATAAATTAATGCAACATTTAGCACATTTATTACCTCATTAATACATTAATGCAAACTTTTAATTAAATAATAAACTAATTGATGGATTATAATATAAATCATGAAGATTAATAAGGGTTTTGTTGATGAAAAATAAAAAAAAAATTGCTTTGTTGATGGAAAATAAAAATTGTAAGGACAAAATATTCAATTGAATGATAAGTCACTAAATTTTCGTTGATTTATTTATTTTTTAAATAATTGAATGTCAGTTTCACTCCTTATATTAATTCCAACCCAAATGATAAATATCAATCAAATATTTCACCACTTATATTAATTATAAATCAAATTATAAATATTAATTAAATTAGTAATAAGGACTTTGTTGACGAAAATTAAAATTTGCAAAGAAAGAAATCAATTGAATGTTAGTCATTGATTTTCCGTGTGTAATTTCTTTTTTATTTATTGAATGTTCTCATTAATATATTAATGCATCCTTTAAAATATTTGTAACTTCAATTAAATAATAACTTAATGAATAATTTATAATGTAAAGCATAAAGATTAAAAATTGCTCCGTTGATGAAAAATAAAAACTTATTGCATGAATTATAATCTGAATTATAAAGATTAATAAGAGTTTTGTTGATAAAAAGTAAAAATTGATTCGTTGGTGAAAAATAAAATTTGTAAGAACAAAATAATCAATTAAATGGTAAGTCACTGATTTTGTGTGTGTGTGTGTGTGGTTTTATTTTTTTGAATGTTAGTGGCACTCCTTATATTAATTCCAAAGAGAGATTCAACAACTGAAAGAAAGATCGATTCTTTGGGATCTTTCATTTCTTCAAACGGAAGGAACAAAGATAGAATCAGACCGATTCCCGAAATGCCTTTCTCCAAAATGATAAATATCAATTAAATATGTCACTCCTCATATTATATTAATTCTAAACTGAATGATAAATATTAATTCAATTGGTATTCCAATTATAAGGGTATAGTGGGCATATAGATAAATATGTAGGGGTAAATTTGGCATTTAAATGTTTCTCCACCATTCCCACTTTTAATAATTTGCAAATATAAGGGAAAGGATTTTGGACGAAAAAATGTCCAAAATCAAGTGTTTGAAACTAAACAAGATCATTGAACGTCAATTGCCGTTGAGCTCAAGGCTAGCACACCTGTCACTCGAGCGCCAGTCTAGCACTAGGCGGGTGATAGGGGTTCTACTTCTACCTTTAGGGCGCCGTCGGGGCAGCAAGCTAGCAAAAAAGTGTCCTTGATATCAACCTTGTAAAGTCCGATTGTTTTCTTGAATTTCTTTGACTTCTTTTTGGACTCTAACAACTCCAAACTATTTTACAATAGCTTGGACTTTGCAAAACCTATTTTAACTTTCATTATAACTTGATTAATTCTTAATACAATTAAGTTAAAATATGACTTTAACTTAGGAAATCGCCAATTAAAATTTTAGACCTAACAACTATAAAATCTCATACTTAGAACCATTTGAAAGTAATGAAATTTTATACCTCAAACTATAAAATTGCTCTCTCTCTCTCTCTCTCTCTACTTGTTCATAAATGCGGCTCACATCTTCCAGCCATCCCACATCCAAATATACACAAATTATTCACTAACTTAATCATCGAATTACTTGCAATAACCTTTCCTACCATTGGAAAATGTTATATGCTCCTAATAGTTTGTCCAAGTGTGCATGAACCACGTCATCCTTACAAAATTCGAGGCCAACAAAAACTTTTACAACAGATGAGTTCATTCACAGTTTTATATTTAGTGACACGCTTAATCTTTTAACCGCACGATAAATTATAAAGGATGCTAAATCACCAAGTCGGTCTGCATCTTGGCATGCGTGGGAACACTTTTTCGCTTATAGTCAATCCGTTCATTTTTATGACCCGGGTATCTAATTACTTTTGAACGGTTGATTCGAAATTCTAAATGATCTGATTGGTCACATTTTTTATTTATTTATTTTGATCGGTTCTGATTGGTCACATTGATTAAACATGACTTTGGTAGTTATTAAGTGAGACGGATTAATATACTAATTGGCGGATTTTATCGTATAATTTTAGAGCTTGTTGGTAATGATTTTAAATCAATTAAAATCAATGTTTCGATCTTTATTTCACTATTTTAGCCGATGTTTTTGAATTCTTCTCTTACGGATATTATTTTTTTTATCTTTAACGATCAAAAAATCAATTCACAAAATCCCCACCAAACATTCTCTTTCTATTCTTTCGTTTTAGGACGTTGATCCATTGTATAAAGTGGTTTGTGGCTTTTCAATTTATTGTTTCAAGCTTGACTTGATTTGTAGAACTTATTTCGTTCCTATTTGGCTTAGCAAAAATTCAATTTTTAGTAAAAACTTTGGTGAATGTTGATGAAACGGATAATTGAAATGTTGTAAATCTCATAAACTATGTAATTAAAAAGAAATTAAAAAATAGAGACCAAACAAGGGTTTCATCTAAACTAAGAGGATGTTCGACATCCATTTTGAAGGAAAAATGAATTTTAAAATAGTAGATTGATGGAGAATGTATGGATGAAAAATTTATGGTTTATATATAACATTATTTTAATAAAAAAATGTATAATTAAAAAAAATACATTTAAAAAAAATGAGAATCAAACTGGATATAAGTTTGTGTGGGAGCCATTTTCTCTAGACTTTAGCCAAAATTAGAACGTTATAACCAATAGGTGGGTCCCGCTCTAGCCGTACTATTTGACACGCACAAAATAACTGATTTCTTTTTCTTTTTTCAAATTTCAAAAAGGTCCTGCTTAAGAGCACGGAAAGCCAAAATCAAGGGGTACAATAGTCTTTTCATCAGTCCACATAATTGATTGGTAAGGGGACAGTCAATAATGGATGCTACAGCGGGACCCACCCATTGCTTATAACTTTCGGTTTTGGCTTGAAATATGGGTCCAAACAAATGTTGAAAGTTAGAAAAAAAAAATATATATATATATATATATTGAACCCCAACTTTGAAGGCCTCTACTGTTTTGTCTCTAAAGTTTTGTGAGGAAGGTAAATCGCAGGATGTGCCCCCAACAGTCCAGAGAACAAGAGTTGTTTGTATATTGCGCTTACAAGTAGTCCAATTTCATGTCTCAAGAATTGAACCCCCACACTGTGGCTACCAGTAAGCCGTGAGATAACCTCATTCATGTCTTTTGCACCACTGAGCTATGCCTCGGGGGGCAATGTAAAAGTTAAATGCACGTCTCATATGTTTGACTCTACTTTTTAATTCGTCGATAATCAAACATTCTCGACACTATTGAATGATTTTGTGTATTCTCTAATTTGAAGTTACCCTGTTTGAGCAGCATTATTTGAAAGAAAAAAAATTAACAGTGATTTAACATCATTTTAATTACACATTCTTTAATAAAATAATATTATCCACAAATTCAAAATTTTTTCTTATTTTTTAACAACACATTCTCTATCAATCTACTATTCAAAAATACATTTTTTAAAAATAACTTGGCTCAAGCACACCGATCTAAATAAGCATCACTCACTATTGCTCTAACAGGTTAATGCTTGTGCTTATGCACTTTTGGTACAGGTAATGCTGGTAGTATAAGAAACAAGAAATGGTTAAAATTGGATGGTATCAATCTTTAAGGGTGTTACATTTCCTCTCTATATTGAAACAATAACCTCATTTTTAGTAACTTTAAGATTGATTATACTAAATTTTTTTATAAATTACTTTGAATTCATTACTATATCTTTTGCAATTTCTTATTTATTTATTTATTATAAATTTAAGGTAGACTATATGTATGAGTAAAACTGTAAAAGTAATGTATTGAAAGTGAGTTTTTGGTTGGGGAGGGAGGAGCATGTTACCGTATAAAATTAAGGGCCGGGCTGTGACAATAAAGACTGGTGGCCCGGCCCAAATTTATAACTCCACATAATGAATAAGCCCATTTATGCATAAGTACAACGGTGGGCATGGTCCACCTTTCGGGGGCCAGGGATGAAAATCGATCTGAACGTTAACATTGGCGAACCGCCAATAGACTGAGGTGCGAGTCCTTTATACGAGCCTGGCCTTGATTGACTAGCTTAATCTAAAAAAATACGTATGTACATCACACACAATAATCTGTAAGTGTGTATAATTTAATTAGTAATAAGTTATTTAATTTTGTATTGGTATTAAGCATTATTCAATTTCCGTTAGATTTAAACTTTCATGTTGAGGAAGTTAGGTGGCTCAATTTTGATTTGCCTTAGAGGTTTTCTAGGAAAGTTTTTCAAGTTGGAATTTTGTTTGCGTGATATTCAAGACATGTCGATTTCTGCTAGATTTAATTTTCACATATGAATTCAACGTTACTAAACTGAAGATCACTTTCATCCCTGCTACAATTATGTCATTGGACTTCAATTATAGCTATAACATCACTTTAACTTAAATGTAGTCCATTTTTGGTTTACACAATTTAGATTTTTAGTAAATTTCGATAAAAGTTGATAGATTGCATTGTTGGAAAGTCATAAGTCATATGATATGTGTGATTTAAATTAAATGTTGACTTTGATTTAGGTTTAATTTAATTTTTTCACTGAACCGAATAAGAGCTTAATATCATCAAAGTACTTCGTTTGGATGCTACGAGACAGCGTAGTAGATTTGATGTTTGTTTTGGATTAAAATCTTAATTTAAAGTCAACATTGAATTTTAACCACATATTTTTTGGAATCCGCGACTTTTCAACTACAAATTTCAAAATTTAATTTTAATTCTCATCAAATGCCCTCGTAAGATAAAATCTGAGGTGGATTAATTGTTGTATGATATCTTACATTGCATGATTATTGCCAATTGAAATTTGATAATATTATGGCCCCGTTTCGTATACATTTTTTTCAAAATGCATTTTTCTCTTTCTTCTTTTCAATCACACATTCTTTATTAAAATAATATTACACGTAAATAATTTTTTTTTCTTATTTTGTAACTACACATTTCTCATCAATTTACTATTTAAAAATATATTTTTACATAAAAATATCTCCCAAACTCTCCCATAATTACATTCGGGATGAAAGTTTTTGGTCAAGTAGTATCTTTAATTATTTTAAAATAATTCTTTTTAATAGATTTACGAATTTTAACAACCAGCCTGTAAAATAAAGTAAATCATTCAATTAATTTATTTATTTTTTTAAAAAAAAGGGAAAAATCCAAAGCTTAACGTAGACTCAAAGCAAGTGTCCCACCGCAAATTATACTGTCACCGCCAATTCTGCCGCCCAACGTCACAAACGACATCCATTTTCATTATAAAATAACCTCACCACCTTAGTACCGTCCTACAATCCAACTCCTAAATCGCTATCTTTTGGTTTATGGATCCAAACGTAACCGATCTAATTCACGATTTTCCACTTATCTTCCGAATCCACAAAAATGGCAAAATCGAAAGGTACTCAGTGACCCATTTTGTGCCGCCATCGCACGATCCAACAACCGACGTAGAATCCAAAGACGTTGTAATTTCGCCGGAAAAACCCATTTCAGCGCGGTTATTCCTCCCAAAAAATGCAACTCCCAATCGAAAGCTGCCACTCTTTATCTATATTCACGGAGGCGGATTTTCGATCGAATCCGCTTTTTCCCCCACATACCATAACTATCTCAATACTCTAGTAGCTGAAGCTAAGGCTATTGCCATGTCCATTGAATATAGGTTAGCGCCGGAACATGCTATTCCGGCGTGTTATGATGATTGTTGGGAGGCAATTAAGTGGGTGGAATTGCATGTCAGCGGACAAGGCCTAGATCCATGGTTGAATGAATTCGCGAATTTTGATCGGGTTTTCCTCGCCGGCGACAGCGCCGGAGCCAATATTGCTCATAACATGGCAATTCGAGCCGGCCTAGGCGAATCCTGTTCGGGTATCAAAATTGACGGTTTAATTTTGGTTCATCCATTCTTTGGCAACGATGAACCTGACAAACTTTGGAGCTTCATTTGCCCGGAAACGATCGGGTTGACTGACCCGAGACTGAACCCGGCTGCGGATTTGGACTCATTGTTGAAATTAGGGTGCAATAAAGTGCTGGTTTGCACTGCAGCGAAGGATTTTTTGAGAGGAAGGGGTTTGCATTACTATGAGACAGTGAAGAAGATCAATTGGAAGGGTGAAATTGAAATTTTAGATATTGAAGAAGAAGGTCACGTTTTTCATTTGTTTAATCCAACGTCGGAAAATGCTGTCTTGTTGATGAAGAAAATTGTTGACTTCATGAATTACTGTGGTGATTGATTGATTGAAGTCTCGAGAGAAAAGTTTCGCAGGACAAGATTATTATCCTTTTGTTGATCACTTACATTTGTATCGATTGATGATTTTCATAATTTTCAAATTTACTTCAATCAAGGTTCAAATTAGACTAGTCTATGCTTCTTTTCTCAACTAATCTAAGGAGAATTTCTTGTTTGATTCCCTTTAAATTGCATTTTTTAATTATTTATTTGAAATATATTTGTACTTTTTTTGAAAATTTTGGAAGTATAGTTATAATTTGTTATTTATCTTTCTTTCCTTTATTTTTGTTTATTTAAAGAGGATAGTATATTTGTCATTTTACAGCTTTTAGTTGAAAAAATTGATGAAAATAATTATTTTTCAGTAAAATATAAAAATAAGGGTGGAAATGTAAAAAAATGAAACGTATGGACGTTCTGCACAATAATAATGAAAGGTGGGGACGTTTTGTGCTAATTACACTTTTAATAATTTATTTATACTAATTTTTAATTCTTTTAAAAGTTTGAGAATATGATTGCAATTTATTCCTTAACCTTTTTTTTCTTTTTTGTTTTTTTTATTTAAATAGGTGGAATATTTGTTATTTTACACGAGAAATTTGTTAAAAATGATGATTTTTGCAATAAAAAGATGAAGGTAAGGACAAAAGTGTCAAAAAATGAAAGTTGAAAACGTTTGCACAATAACATTGAAAAGTATGAACAAATACCCATTTTTCAAATTTGCTTCAATCAAGGTTTAAATTAGACTAGTCTATTCTTCTTTTCTCAACTAATCTAAGGAGAAATTTTCTCGAGTAATTTAGCTCTTATTTGATTCCCTTTAAAATTTTGATACAATTTTTTTTAAAAATTTTTAAATATACATTATTCAATAAAATAATAATACACGTAAATAAAAGAAATTTTCTTCATTTTTAATCAAACGCCCTCCTAAAATTACTATTTTAAAATACATTTTACCCAAATTTCTCGTTATAATGGTTGTCAAACGAAGCCTACTATAATCTTGACAAGCCCCCAAATTAACGGGATTAAAAATGCCGTTGTTTTGACAAAGCTTCAAAGGAAGTGGATTGATAAGTGGTTGATTCTCTGCTACGCGTCATTTAGGAACCAATCCTAACAAAGAGTTGTCTCCCACCAAGTTCTGAAGCAGCAGCTTCGGACTCGACACTAAAATTTAAGGTTTGAAGATGGAATTCAGAACTTGGGAACCATTGTCGGTGTCCGACCTTAAGAGGCCACGTCGAATAAAGTGTAGACTCACTCTAAAGTAATTGAGGAAGCTTAATCACTGAAAATCTATGCATTTGAGGTGAGGTCAAATCACAGGCCTTATCCCGTCACAATAGTTAAAGTCGGCGTCAACTAAAAATATTATCATGAATAAGTCGGAGGGATGTTCCACACTAATATCAACGGTAGTTACAACCAATTAGAGGCATGAAGGTGTCACCATTGACATTAGCACAAGCACGATTATCTACGTTGCAAACAATGATGACTTAGATCACAAGCTACGACCTAGTTGTAATGATTGTTCAACCTGTTCGGAATTCTCAACTAATGAAATTCGGGATGTGCTATATGCACAGACCCCTGTGCACAGGGTGTCTCACAAGGGAGTGGACCCCACAACCCCTGTGCAAGAAGGGTTTCCCAATGAAATTCATTTAAGTAGGGCTATAACTCGTAACTCGAGATAGACACCGTAACTTGAAAAAGTCAAAGGACAGTGAGCCCATGTTTTAAAGCCTATATAATAAAGTAAAGCCCAACAAGAAAGTTCGAGCTAAGTTTTTCTCTGGAATACATAACCAAACACTATTTAATGAAAAATTTCACGTTATTTACCATTATTCCAACAATAATACACTTTTATTCCACCGAATTCCTCTTAATTTAATCTGAAATTACCAAGCAAGTGTTAGTCATCGACATATAACATTTAGTCCTTATTCGGTGGGATTAAAATTAGATTTTTAACAAATTTTTGATAAAAGTTGGTGAAATATATAGTTGTAAAGTTATGATTTCTATAAAATATATAGTTAAAATAAATTGTTGACTTTAACGTAAAATTAAACTTTAACTTAAAATTAAAATTATAATTTTTACCAAAGGGGGCTTAGTGTTTGCCTCGCATGGCCACTAACTAGCAATGTGGGTTACAATTTTTTACCCTTAGCAGTTACGTTGGTGGAAGATAAACAAAGCACTGCTTTGTTTGAGATTGTCGCGCCAAAAGTTCGAATCCTGAAATATGGATTTGGCTCTTGGATAAGTGCAAGTATATAAACATCCTTCCACCCTATATCCTTGGAGATATAACCTGCGATTTACCTCCCTCACAATACTCCAAGACAGAGGCGGTGGGAGACCCTTAAGGTTGGGGTTCAACCTTTTTTTAAATAAAGCACTGCTTCTTTTGTCCAATCAAATAAGAGATTAGTTAATATCGTTCTGTTTTCAAAATCCTGGACTTTTTGAACATTTCGGCAAAGATTTTTTTTGTTTTTTTCCATTTCTTTTCCTTCTTTAGGTTAAATTATGAAATAGGATACGGCATATTCCAAGAATTTTTGATCGGTTTGGATATTTTCTTATTGATGTTGAAATTTGGGGACATGGTGACGTCAATTTATTTGCTTATATATTGATTATTTATTTTATATTTTTTCTACATGAAATTTATCACATAACACAAACATACGTATTACATGACATCAATGCATTTACTGATAAATTTATTTTGAATCTCATGTCGGAAACATTACTAGTTGCAGTAACTTATACAAACTTGTAGAACAGTAAAATGTAGAAAATAAAACTTATTCATTCATTGAGTCTCGTGACAATACGATTTTTTAAAATGAAATTGTCCGCTGTTAACTGCTGCGTCATCTATGAACAATCACTCCTAGGATAAACGATCAAGTTTATGCAAATCGAGTATGAAGAATTGTAGAATATGAAAATGATGATTTCATTTCATTATGATGTGATTTTTCCAAAATCAGATGTGTGTTTATATAGGCAGAATAGATATATCTGCCTCCATTATCATCCATAAATATTTGCAACATTTTAATGGCTCATGGATAATGGTTGTTAATAATGGATTGTTGAAAAGCGGTCATATTATACTGGCCAATTTGACTAATTAGATAATTTTGAAAATGATTAATTATTGCATGGGATGTAATCCGAACCCCCAAGGTCCAATCAAAGACTTTTTAACTATTGCGTGGAATGTGACCCGAACCCCCAACCTCCTACACATATTCCACATTTCCACCAATTGAAAACTTTATCTAAATTAGTTATTTTTTTCACATATTATATTTATTATATAAATATCTAACATCTCAAGATTTGAATTAAATTTTCTATCCATCAATGGATTGTACACATATCATCAATGTCCATTAAATTATTTCTCTCTATATATATTACTAAAATTTTGAATGGAAGTACGAAGAAAGAAAACCCGAGGCATTTTAACATGGGAAGATTGACAGTAGCAGTAGTCCACCGTTGCATAATTCAATTGGAATCAGCAATTTCTTGGACAATTATGTGAAAGGCGGAGCGAAGGCATGACTCCACTAAAAGTCACCATTGCATAAGTCAATTCAATAATGCTACTCAAACAGGGGTTTCGACTGCATGGGTTTTTTTCCCTAATTGTCCAATGATATTGCACTACACATCCCCTTTTTTAATTCCATCTCTGAACCCATCACTGTAGCAAAACTCAATTTAATTAGAATAAGCAATTTCTTGGGACAATGATGTGAAAGGCGGAGCGAACACATGACTCCACTAAAAGTCATCATTGCATAATTCAATTCAATAATGCTACTCAAACAGGGGTTTTGACCGCATGGGTTTTTTTTCTAATTGTCCAGTGATATTGCACTACACATCCCCTTGTTTTTAATCCTATCTCTGAACCTATCACAGTAGCAAAACTCAATTTACTTAGAATGAGCAATTTCTTGGGACAATGATGTGAAAGGCGGAGCGAACACATGACTCCAGTCATCATTGCATAATTCAATTCAATAATGCTACTCAAATAGGGGCTTTGATTGTGTGGGCTTTTTTCCTAATCGTCAAATGATATTGCACTTCTCGTCCTCCTATTTTTAACCCTGCCTCTAAGCTTATCACTGTAGCGTAACTCAATTAAATTAGAATAAGCAATTCCTTGGGACAATGATCTCGACTAAAAAATCTTTTATGTTGGATCAATAACTATATAAAGAAAATCACATATATTTTTACATTATAAAAAAGGCATAATTTTAAAAATTGTATTTAAAAAATCAAATTTGAAATTTACTTATACATAAGTCAGGTGATAATTCAACTATTAATATTGTTAATAATATTATAAATTTAAATTAATCTATACGCCCATCCATACCAAAACCTAAATCATTTTTCATTTTCTTCTCTCCATCATTTTCCTTCACTCTTCTATATCTTACCGCGAATATGTCACATCCAGTAACACAACACAGGACATTGTGCGAAGCAGCACTATACCCAAAGGTGATGTACCTCTGTTGTAAAATTTTGTTTCACAAGTATACGACCCGTAACAAGTAATAGTGGATCTAAGAGTTCAGATTGTCGATCCCACAAGAACTATTTTCTAGCACTTAATTTAATTTTTCTTTAACTATTATTTGACTAATAATAGTTAAAGATTAAAACTCAATTTTAATGTAGTGCTCGGTCGAATTCTCCTATTGTATTCAATTTACCCCTGTCGAGTTCTCATTGAGCCTATTCAACTAATTAAATTTCACATCTCTATGCAAATTCAACTTAGTTAAACGAGTTTTATGTCCTAGGAATTCAATTATGACTGCAATAAATGATATTAAGTATCTCTAATCGTTATACCAATGTACTGAATTTTACTACATGGTCTAAATCCTAAACTCATATCTCCATTTGTAAAGAATTCACAAAAATCATCAAATTATTGTTTAGATAATTTAATGCATTCAACTCATAGCAAAATCAACACATGGAAAAATTAAAAACTAAGAATCTTAATAAGAGAATGTAAAGAATCCCAATTAGTTAATTATTCCTCCTAACAATGAATTTAGTTACTCATAATGCAAGAAGAAAAATAGAAAATTGTCTTAGAATACATCATCGGATTTGTAATAAAGATGTAGAAGAAAAAGTAGAATTCTTGCACCAAGATCTCATTCCCCTTCCAATGAATGCTTCTAATCTTCAATTGCTTGGTGTTAATCTTCTTGAATTTCTCTTTTGAATCTCTCTTTTTGTTGTCTTGTCTCTCATGTCCCAAGAACCCCTCAAAAGTATGAGAAAGATGTATTTATAGATATCCCTCCGTTTTGTGTAAAAGTAAGGTTTTCATGAATTTTAAAACGACCCAAAAAAATACGCCCTAGACACTCAATCGCAGCGCCTAAGTGCTACGAGACAGCGCCTAGGCATCGCGTCAGTTTAATCATAGTGCCTAGGCGCTGCCTCTCGGGTTCAAATTTTATCTTTTTTTAGTTTCGCAGCGCCTAGGCGCTATGAATGCAGCGCCTAAGCGCTGTCTTTCTGCCCCAATTCCATGTTTTTAGCCTCTTTGTCTACTTTAATACCTCTTTTCGCATCGCCTCTCCGAATCTTCAAAACAACACTAACAAACACATCAAAAACATTCTATTCTCACAAGATCTAGCATTTAATCAAACTAAACTTGTGCGAAATTCATTAGTGAAACAAATTCATCAAATACCCCCAAACTTAACCGTTTGCTAGTCCTTGAGCAAACAAACAAACCAAACAATAAAATCATCCAAGGACGATACACACAAATATTCAGTTAGACGGCTTGTCGTTTTGGCTCAGCATTGATAATGTTATATTACATTTATGAATGGTGTCAAAATCACAATGCAAGAACCAAACTTCCACTCATACAATGCGAAGCGGGTGTGCGTGTGTGGAGGATCAAGCGTAGCGCTGCACATTCACAAGTTGGTTCATTTCCCAACCCTTAATGGTCAATTATTTCCTTTCTTCGCTCGTAAGATTCACACACCCCCAAACTTGATTCTTTCATTCTCTCTCCATGTGTAATTCTAAAATTTCGTTGTGCTTAAGATTTCCTTACACCACTCTAATTTGGTTTAGTTCAACCGGCAACGTCAACAATTCATTCATGTAATGATTCTCCCAATTTCTGAGTGTTTCAACAATCTAGTTTATACTTAGTGATTCAAACCCACTAGTTATCTAGGCCCCTACGATCAGTTTGTTTTATTCATCCATTTATTTATTTACCTCACTCTTTTTTTCACTTCTTGACCCCTATAGCGAGTGGTAGGTCGATAACTCTCCAGTTTTTTGTATAACAAAGGGTACCAGGTTTCAAGAGACCTCTACGAACTTAATAACTCGAGTAAAAAAGGTGCAGGTGTGAGACTTAGCTGAATACGTGCAATGCTTTTTTTCTTGTAAACAGAAGCGAGATTTATAGGAGTTAGATTTTTAGCATTCGGTCATCACCAAGCTTATATTGGAAAATTAAATACACCCCTTATAATCTTTTTCACATGCACGGAATCACCACAATCTTAAATCATTTCTTTCATCGGTTAGAATGCCCCAAATTATAATGTAAACGGTTAAGGGGTATTAACATTCATGGGTTAACGGATTACACACCTAAGTCATCTCTTTAGCCTATGTGCATGAACCCTAATGTTCTTGTACGACGCTCAACTTAATACTCGTGCATAAATGTTATATCGCTTCATATGGATAAGCAGAAAGTCCAATTAAAACATATGATTCATCCACTATTCATAAACTAATACATGCTCTCAGATATATTCATCATAGCCGACAAGACTATCCAACTCACACAAGCATACAGAGTATGAATTTTATTTTATTTTTGAATAAAAACACAAACACATAAAACAAGCAAATCATACATTAGCATTCGAGAAACTCAACAACGTAAGCAAATGATATCACTCCCCCAAACTTAACTGAGACATTGTCCTCAATGAGAAATTTAAAGGAAAAGGAGGAGGACTTCCCTGAAATGTCAGTATTGCCTATGATGTCGTGGTGTCTTGGTGTTGCATTTGATCGACTCTTCTTCTACATTCTCCCCCAAACTTGAAATTTGTCTCATTTTCTCCATGTCCATGTTGGTTTGAGTGTTCCGCGATGTCATGTTCCTGAAAATTAAATTTGAAAAATTAAACTCATGAAACAAGGATTACTTAGCTCAAACATCTAATAACCAACTTAATTACTCCAAGACCTATAGGTAGAAGGGGTATGGGTGATGATTCCAAAAATAAACTATAGATTAAACTATCCTAGAACTTTGAAAACAAAATAAATAAAATAAAATAAAAGCTTGGGTTACCTCCCAAGAAGCGCTTCTTTTAAGTCATTAGCTTGACTTATGCCGCTGATTTATCATGGTGGCTCAAACCAAATTATTCTATCATTGCACTTTGTGTAATTTTTGTTGATGCAATATTTTTTTACGCCCTAGATTTTGATTTGTCCATTCTTATCTCTACCAAGAAGTTCTCCAAAATTTGGTTTTTTTGTTCTGACAGCTTCCTTGATCAGGTGGCCCTTCTTCATCAATTCTACAGCAATCATTTTTATTGGGAGGTTTCTCATATTGGATGTGATTATTGAATATCTCCTACTTGTCCTCCACCCTCAAGATTAGTTCTCCATTCTCCATGTCAATAAGGGTTCGTCCCGTTGCTAAGAATGGCTGACCCAATATAATTGGAATGTCTCGATCTTCTGATATGTCCAATACAATGAAATCCACAGGAAATATTAAATTTCCTACTTTTACGAGTACATCCTCAACTTTGCCACGTGACCTTGCGATTTTTCTATCAGCTAGTTGTAGCGTTATTGATATTGAGTTGACTTCATCTAGTACCAATTTCCTGTAAGCAGAATACGACATTAGATTGATACTAGCACCAGTGTCACACAATGCATTAATTGAATAGGAATTTCCAATTGAAATTGATAAAGTAAAACTCCATGGATCCTTCAATTTAGGAGGCAATTTTCTCTGAACTCTTGCACTACTTTCCTCAGTTAATGCCACAGTTTCAAACTTCGGAAGCTTTCTTTTCTTTGTCAACATCTCTTTCAAAAATTTTGTATAGCTAGGAATTTGTAGTATTGCATAATGAACGGAATATTGATCTGGAGCTTCTTGAGAACATCGAGGAATTTTTCATAGTTTGTGTCTTGTTTGTTCTTCTTGAGCTTTTGAGGAAAGAAAATGGGAGGCATGTAAGCTTTGTCTAGACTTGGTGCTTTGGCAGCTGATGTTTCTGCACTTTCTCCATTTTCAGTTGCGTTTGGTGCAGATTTTTCTACCCTTGTAGCTTCATCAATCACTTTTTGGTCATCTTTTCTTTTGGGTCTCTCTGTAGTGATCCCTGGCGATTATACATCACTCTTTGTATTTATGACATGAATATTTTGCTCCATCGACTTCTTTCAAAGTCTTTGGGGAAACGGAAGTGGGTGTACATATTCTTTAACTTTTACGGGGGCCCTGGGTGGATTGTTCTCCACTACTTTAATTGCCATCAACTATTCCTTAGAATTTATCATTGTATTGCCTGACATTGTCCTTTGTGGACGTTCTGCAAGTTGTTGTGCTATCTGACCAATTTGTGTCTCCAGTTTCTTGATGGATGCTTGCTGATTTTGAAAGTTCGTGTCAATTTGTTGGAACACATTGTCCGTCTTCTGCACATATTGTTGAAACATTTTTCCCAAACTTGGTCTTCTTTCTTGCTGGAAATTGTTACCATATGATTTGAAATTACGGGAGCTATTTTGAATAAAGTTTACTTGTTCCTATGAAGAAGTGAGCATCATGCAGCTCTTTGTAGCGTGATTTCTCCCACAATTCTCACATGATGAACTGGCCATTATTGCATTTGCTCCATGTGTTTACAATTTTACAAGTAACTCTACCTGTTTTGTTAAAGCTGCTATCTGTGCATTGGTAAATGCTGTGCTGTCTAATTCATACATTCCTCCTGTCTTCGGTGACACCACTCTTTCCGATAAGAACATTGAATGTGTAGTGGCAATCAACTCAAACAGTTCCATGGTTTGCTACACAGATTTTCCTATAATTGATCCTCCAGCTGAGGCATCAACTTGAGATTTTGACAGTGGTGTAAGTCCAGTGTAGAAGTATTGCACTTGATTACCTATAGTAATTCCATGGTTTGGGCATTTTCTCATCATCTCATTAAACCTACTCCATGCTTCATGATAGCTTTCTCCCCCTTTCTGTTGAAAAGTTTGAATTTTCAATCTGATTTTAGCTACTCTCGCCGGTGGGAAAAATTTATTACAGAACTTCCTGGTTAGTTCTTTCCATGTAATAATGCTGGCATGAGGCTCGGCATCTAACCACTCCAATGCAGAATCTCTCAATGTAAATGAGAATAGTCGTAGTTTAATAGCATCTTCATTGACCCCCGGAGCATGAAAGTTCTGACAGTTTCTGAGAAATCTAGAGATATGCGTGTTTGGATTCTCATGAGGTAGCCCGTAGAATTGCAGGGTGTTGCTCATCAAGTTAATCCAATCTGGCCTGATCTGAAAGTTATTCACCCCAAAATCTGGATACACGATACTGGAGCGCATGGGTGCTGCTATAGGTGTCAGGAACATTGATACTGACAAATCACCTTCATTTATTTCCCCTTGTTGATGCTACTGTTCCGGTGGTGCCACCACTCTTGCGGCCATTTGTCCAATCGGCTGAATAGGTATAGGGATTTGTTGATTGTCGGCCATTTGATGTTGCTTTTTTTGTTTGTGTTCTTTGTGTCTTCGTCTGAAGGTACGTTCTATCTCCGAATCAAACGGTTCAAGATGTTCGCCTTTGGCACGAAACATACAACGAACACAATTTTCTGTAAATAAAATAAAAATAAATAAATCAAATAACAGTTAAAATAAAAATTAATTAAGACTAGAAGAAATAGTTCCCGGCAACGGCGCCAAAAACTTGTTATAAAATTTTGTTTCGCAAGTGTACGACCCGTAACAAATAATAGTGGACCTAAGAGTCCGGATTGTCGATCCCACAAGGACTATTTTCTAGCACTTAATTCAATTTTTCTTTAACTACTATTTGACTAAAACAAATTAAAAGTTGTAAAATCTGAGTTTTAATCTAAATTTTAGAAAATAATTGTATGTTCACACGATTGGTTGGAGAATAAAATAATGAATTGATGTTAGGGCAGAATAACTTCACCAATTGATCACATTTACATCTCAAATTAAAACTCAATTCTAATGTAGTGCTAGGTTGAATTCTCCTATTGTATTCAATTTACCCCTCTCGAGTTCTCATTGAGCCTATTCAACTAATTAAATTTCATATCTCTATACAAATTCAACTTAGTTAAACGAGTTCTATGTCCTAGGAATTCAATTATGACCGCAATAAATGGTATAAGTATCTCTAATCGTTATACCAATGTACTAGATTTTACTACATGGTATAAATCCTAAACTCATATCTCTATTTGTAAAGAATTCACAAAAATCATCAAATTATTGGTCAGATAATTTAATGCATTCAACTCATAACAAAATCAACACATGGAAAAATTAAAAATTAAGAATCTTAATAAGAGAATGTAAAGGATCCTAATTGGTTACATTATTCCCCCTAACAATGAATTTAGCTACTCATAATGCAAGAAGAAAAATAGAAAATTGTCTTAGAATACATCACCGGATTTGTAATAAAGATGTAGAAGAAAAAGTAGAATTCTTGTACCAAGATCTCATTCCCCTTCCAATGAATGCTTCTAATCTTCAATTGCTTGGTGTTAATCTTCTTGAATTTCTCTTTTGAATCTCCTTTTTTGTTGTCTTGTCTCTAATGTCTCAAGAACCCCTCAAAAGTATGAGAAAGATGTATTTATAGATGCCCCTCTGTTTTGTGCAGAAGTAGGATTTTTATGGATTTTAAAACAGCCCAAAAAAAGGCACCCTAGACACTCAGTCACAACGTCTAAGCGCTACGAGACAGCGCCTAGGCACCGCGTCATGATTGCAGCGCCTAGGCGCTGCCTCTCGGGTTCAAATTTTATCTTTTTTTCAGTTTTGTAGCACCTAGGCGCTATGAATGCAGCGCCTAAGAGCTATCTTTCTACCCCAATTTCATGTTTTTGGCCTTTTTGTCTACTTTAATACCTATTTTCGCATCGCCTCTCCTAATCTTCAAAACAACACTAACAAACACATCAAAAACGTTCTATACTTACAAGATCTAGCATTTAATCAAGCTAAACTTGTGCAAAATTCATGAGTGAAACAAATTCATCAACCTCGCAGCTCTGCGCAATGTTGCAGCCACGCAGAGAGGCTCATCGTTGTGTTGCCGTGGTTCCTCTGCGTGCAAAGTTGAAGTGTGATGTGTCGATGTTGATTGGCATTCGGGATTCGAACTCTTGACCAAAACTGCATTATTTGCATCATCTCCACAATTATTCTATACTGGGATATTGTATGTTTCAATTGAGTTGGTCACA